ATCAAAGTATACTTTAACCCGGCTCATTACACCGTCATGGAAAATGTGGGCCAATTCGCAGTCACTATTAGCCGAGAGGGAGATCTCAAACCCACAGTTTGTGTGGACTTCAAGACGGAAGACGGAACGGCAAACGCCGGCTCTGATTACGAGCCAATCGAAGGAACCATTATTTTCAGACCCAACGAAATGCATAAACAGGTCTTAAACATAATAAATGAATCTTTTTTGTCATCAATTATAGCCATAACTCACGGTTTGTGCGCTTTTCTACGGATCGTTAGGTTTTCATTACAGTCATCGACGACGACCTCTTTGAAGAAGACGAACACTTTTACGTTCGCTTAAGTAATCCGCGGTATTTGAGTCACGATGGATGCACACCAATGAACGGCGCTATCAGTAACACCAATAAGAGTCCACCACTCCTACAACTGGCCACTCCGGCCATCGCCACTGTCATGATCCTCGACGACGACCACTCAGGCGTCTACTCATTCGCTGAGAGTCAGTACGAGGTCTCGGAGTCTGTGGGCGAATACCATCTGAAAGTGAACCGATTCAGTGGCGCCCGGGGAAAGGTATCCGTTCCCTACCATACCTGCGAGGGAACCGCCAAACATGGCGTCGAGTTCGAGATGACTGAAGGCGTCGTATTCTTCGACAATAACCAAACGTCTCAAGAAATTGTGATTCACATTATGGACGCCGAGAGCTATGAAAAAGATGCCGTCTTTTACGTGGAATTGGGTGAACCCGTGCGCGAAGAGGACTCCATCGAAGAGTTTGATGACCAAAAAGATCCAAATCACCAGTCGTTTGACGAGAAGATTGCACTCCTGGGTAAACCAAAACTGGGAGAGATCTACAAGTGCTCCGTAAGAATCAAAGAGAGCAAAGAATTCAAGAACACTGTCGACAAATTGATATCCAAAGCAAACACTAAGATCTTGATGGGAACGTCCTCCTGGAGGGATCAGTTCATTGATGCGATCACTGTGTCCGCCGGTGACGACGACAACGCCGATGAGGACGGAGAAGAGGGGGAACGGGAGGAGAAGTTGCCGACCTGTTCAGACTATGTGATGCATTTGTTCACACTTTTCTGGAAAATATTGTTCGCATTCGTGCCGCCGACAGAAATGGGCGACGGGTGGGCCTGTTTTGTGATCAGCATTATATGGATCGGCATTTTGACGGCAGTCGTCGGAGATCTGGCCTCACATTTCGGTTGCACTGTAGGCCTGAAGGACTCGGTGACGGCCATCTCGTTCGTGGCGTTGGGCACTAGTATTCCGGACACGTTTGCGAGCAAAGTGGCCGCACAGAACGACCAGTTCGCCGACTCGTCCATCGGGAACGTGACGGGCAGTAACGCCGTCAATGTCTTCCTGGGCATTGGCATCGCGTGGACTTTGGCCGCTATAGTGCACGCATACAGAGGCACTCAATTCCGTGTAGACCCGGGATCTCTGGTCTATTCGGTCACTCTGTTTAGTATCTGTGCTTTTCTCACGTGTATTGTACTTATGATCAGACGAAGACTCGGCGGAGAGTTAGGCGGACGTATGCTCTATAAACTGCCGGCCGTTATATTATTTGTGTGTTTTTGGTTGTTTTATGTGTTGATGTCGAGTCTCGAGGCCTACAAAATGATTCCCGGATTCTAATAGACATCCGATTCAATAGAAGGACTGCATTTAATGCACTAAAACTGTCATTAATTTATTCTTGGGTTAATTTGAATGAAAATCTAGGCTCAAGTCAACACAAATATATTGTTTGGCAACTGATCTGAAGTTTTCTTTTAACTCAATTAGTCTTTTAATGGAAAGAAAAGACAATTTGTTTAATAAAAACACTTTTAAAGTTTAAGTAAAGTTATAAAATGGGTTTGAACTTAATTTACATATTTGAAGTGAAATGAATATTCTGGTGCTATTGTAAGGCAGTAATTGTTTCAATTTATCATCTTTTTTTGCATACATTATATGAAAACAAATATTAATTCTTCCTAATAATTGGTACTGAGAGTCGACTCGTTTACGTCGGGAATAGCGGCCCAACTCAACGGTGAGGGTCGCACAGGAGGCCGACACTAAGCATTTGCTACAGAATCACACCATACGGACAGATATAGTGTCAGAAGGCGTTCTCAAACACAACACTTATAGGAGTGATAATTATTCCCTGACCTCTCGTTCTATACATTACTTTCTATCTAATGGTGAGTCTTGTAAATGTTTACTCGAAACGAAATATTGTTAAATAAATTTTCAAATCACTGCCAGTGTTAGAGTGAAATGATTTTTGGGTCATTTGTAAACAATTATTAATGTAATTGATATACAGTACATAATTATATACTTATATAATGTATAAAACAAATGTCATGTTTTCTTTTGATTTTTAAACATTTTAAACAATTCTAATACAAAAATAAACAATTTTAAAGTTTAACGAAAAAATGTAAATGAATTGGATTGCAATTAGCATCAAACTTATGAACGAAAACTACTTAAGTTTCACAAAATATATTGTATGTCCTCTTTTTTCAATTTACAAATAATTGACAAAATATTTATTGTGAAAAATCTCAGCAATTATAGACAATAAGTATTGGGTTTAAGTTGTATACTGTAAAGTTCTAGCTTTTGATTGAAANAATGTCATGTTTTCTTTTGATTTTTAAACATTTTAAACAATTCTAATACAAAAATAAACAATTTTAAAGTTTAACGAAAAAATGTAAATGAATTGGATTGCAATTAGCATCAAACTTATGAACGAAAACTACTTAAGTTTCACAAAATATATTGTATGTCCTCTTTTTTCAATTTACAAATAATTGACAAAATATTTATTGTGAAAAATCTCAGCAATTATAGACAATAAGTATTGGGTTTAAGTTGTATACTGTAAAGTTCTAGCTTTTGATTGAAAACACCTTATCCTTAAAATTTATACCAAAATAAACGATACCATTATCAGAACTGCAAATTTTTGGGGTAAACATACAGTTTATTTTAACCTTTATACTATATATAAATTGAAAAATAAAAAGTTCTAAATTGAAACATAAATCTTATATAAATTGCAGTCCTATTAACATTAGGGGAAATTCTCAATCGTTTTATAACATTACATAAATGGCCGAGAATTGAGTTCATAAAATGCTATACAACTTTTTTGTTTCTCAACTATTATGCTTCCAATAAGATTATGAATTCCTTTATAAATTCTTAGCCCAGTTATGCAAATTATTTTTATTAAATTATATTTACATATTTATTATAAGAGCGACTTATTTCTGATTATTATTATTATTATTATTATTTTATAACGAGTAGAATGAATGATGAGATTCTATTCATATTTCTTATAAATTCATGTTTGACTTCTTTATAATGTATTTGTATTTTGTTAAGAATTCTTTTCAAGAATTTTATTCATTAATATTATTCTTGAATAAAATTTACTTTAAGTAATAATTTTCATTAATTATTAGTCATTTTTAGTTTCAAACAAAATGTTTAAATAAATATATTTCTCTCTATTAATCAAAAATCAACGAATTTTAAGGATTCGGTCAAGAATTCAAAAGTGTGAACAATAATATTATGAATTTATAAAAAATATTTATAATATTGTGTGAAACATTAAACCATTTACAAAATATTTAAAAATTGTTTTGTAAAATTAATACATTTTCAACTTTATTGATAAATTTAAAATTATTGGAAAAATGTGATAACCATTACAATGAATTTTATCACTAAGTTATCAAAAGCTACCAAAAAAGTAAACATACAAATTTAATCAAATTTAGCGTTTAGAGTAATTATTTGGAAATATAAATAATATAAGACATGATAAGGTTTTACTGGAAATTATTTATTCAATCGAAATAATATTATAGTGATGTTATGTCTCTTATGCTAATTATATAGATTTTCTGAAGAGTCATTTGAATAACAAAAACTAATTCTGAATTAAATTGATGTCTATTTTATTTAGATTAAAGTGAATTCAGTTTGTGTTTAAACATATTGATCAATCCATTAAATGAGACTCAGCAACGATTTTGTTATTTATATAACACATAAAATTTATTGTAGTACTAATTATTCCTAATTTTTGTTGCATTTATTGTAGAGTTTTTGGGTAATTTTTTTATTGAAGTGAAATTATATATAAAATGAATTTTATTTTGAATTTACTGTACATTACATTAAATGAAAAAAATTAATTTAAGGATTGTTTGAAATTATTATATATTTATTATTCACAAAATTGTTATTTAATTTGATATATGAATAATTTAATTGATATCACATTATTGATCTGTTGTTTTGATTTGAATTTCAAATACTATGTAATTCTTAAAGATAATAATGGGCTGAACCAATGGCTAAACAAATACAATTTAATAGAAATATTTCATACATAAAATATCTGTTAATAAATTTCAATTGAATATTAAATATAAGAGAAGGTGTAGTAAAGAGGGGGCGATTCCTATTGTTTTTATACTTTTTAAATAGCATTTAGTGAGTTTTGAAACTGGAAAACTAGCGAATGACAAATACAAATGTTTCATTTAAATAATTTAAACACTGAATCAAAAAATGTTATTTTTAAATCATTTTATTTGAATAATACATGTTATTGTATGGCATTACCTCTCATTCCCTTTTGATGCCATTCCCAAATCTTGAATTGATTGTCACGTCTCTCTCTCTCTCTCTCTCTCTCTCTCTCTCTCCATTTCCTTCCTTCCTCTCACTGTAAGCTTAGTGAGACATTCAGTTCTTGTAATTTAAAGTATATTTTTGTCTTAAAACATGCGATTTGTGTTTGTTTTGTAGAGATATAAGTAGTGTCTGTCCCCGCAGTTAATAACTCTTGTTATGCATTCCATCTCTATTTAGAGCGTTATCTCCTTCTCATATCCCGTACACTATAATAGGGTTTACGATAAATGTATAAAACATTATTGTTTGCTATAAACTCATAGAATATTTAGTAGCAAAATATCTTAAGGTTAGACCCATTTCTCGAAAGCCCCCTCTTTAAACATTTTTACTCTAAATTATAATAAAATGTAAAAATATATCAAACTTTTATATATAATATTATTTTGTAAATCTATGATTTAGTTATTATACAGTAGTTATAATGTCTGAGACTTAGTTATACTGAAAACGAAGATAATATTTAATATCTTAACTTCTTTATCTTTAAACAAATATTATATAATACATGAAATATTGTATAAAATATTTATTCTTGAAATAATGAATAATATTGATGTGAGCATATCATATAATATATTGTTAAGAATAATGAAAATTGTAATAAATTATAAAAACAATATTTTAAAATTTGAGAAATAAACTATTATACGAGAAAATTTTTGTCGCAATTATTTATTCGATAATGAGTTCAACAAAATAATCGATATGTTATATAAATATTCAGACAAATTGAAACAAAGTTACTAATATTCTACAAATAAGGTTTTAAAATATTGATCAAGTTTTGTTTAATACATTATAATGGAAGTTTCATTAAAAATATTATTTAAATTTCATTTTGTTATTTTAATATTTAGAGAATTTAGTTTTAAGAAATATTTTGTTGGATACATGAAAGCATTTAAAATATTTAATGTTCGTATTGTTTGCTAAAAATAATTTCTGAAAAAGCATTTAATTGTTTAAAGCAAGTGTTGAGCCAAAAACNAATTTAGTTTTAAGAAATATTTTGTTGGATACATGAAAGCATTTAAAATATTTAATGTTCGTATTGTTTGCTAAAAATAATTTCTGAAAAAGCATTTAATTGTTTAAAGCAAGTGTTGAGCCAAAAACTTCATTAAAATAAGTTAACTTTTAATTAACATAAGACTGAATTATTTATGTTAAAACTGTGTCTAATACTTTATTTTAAAAGTTCATTACGAATCAAATAAATTAATAATAAAAATGCTCTTAAATTTTGAAAAATTAAAATAACGATCGAATGCTTTTAATATATTTAAAAATTTTAATAAATTTACATGATAGTACAGTATATTAAACATAGCGTCAAATTTATAAATATTCTGTAATAAATTCTTGTATTTAAATAGTAATTTACATAATGTACATTAATAAAATTCATTTCTTAAATGTTGAGTTATTTATTACAGTAATACAATAAAACTATTGAATTCTGTATTTCATTCCTAGTATTAATATTTTATTATTTAGATTTATTAAATATTAAGTACAGAATAAGAATATAAATAGATTGATACATTGTAATACTGTGTTTAAATTTGAGAACAATTCAATGATTATTAATTTAAGCATTTATTAAACTAAATTACAAAACAAAAGTATAATAATATGGAAGTATAATGGATTATAATTGAGGTTTTTTGGGTTTACGTTTTGGCACTGATATGAATGAATTAGTTTTGAAGCCACAACTGGAGGCCGGTTTAGAAGTGGATCCACCGCTGAAGTACTTAGAGTTGGATCCGTTGTTGGTTCGGCTGAACTTCGGTGGCTGACGATTGGGCCACTGATTGAACCTCTTGGAGGAAGTGGCCGCTGATGAGTCGTCGCCAAAGACATCCAATTCGGGTCGAGAACCGACTTTTCTTTTGGGAACCAAAAAGTTAAAGCGCTTTCCTTTGGAGAGTATATCACTGGCGGTCTCTCCCAGCCGTAGATAACTATGGGCGACGAGAATGCCCTTCCCGTTGGATACACTCGTGTTTTCCGATATATACTTATCGCAAATCAAATTCTTAAACAGTCGGTCGCCGTCTGAGCGACAAAAGCGCTTTCCTTTGCAATACATGGGAAGTGTTGTGTACTCGGACTCCAGTTTGTCGGCGCCATAAAAGATGGTCATGAGTTTGGTTTGAGTGATGTTTTTCTTACGGTTCTGACCGAACTTCCCGACCAACCTCTCAATCGATTGCAATATAGCCTTCACTTCATAATTTAACCACTTGTGAGCATATCGTTTCAATTATGATAGGGCTTAACACACAGCTATGAACTTATTGGAACAGACACATTTATATTATTTGTCATTGTACAAATGCTAGATTGCAGATTGCCTAGCTTAAATTGCATTTCTTAATCACTGTCACATATTTGTACGTGGTTGCATTTTATTATAAGAAATATATATCCTATTAGCATAAGTAGCCTCATGTACTCATGTACTGGACACTTATTATAATATATAAAAAGTTTTAATAAAAGTTTAATTTATAAATCTAATTAACTAACCTAGTACCATTGAGTTTTATTTTTGAAAAAGCATTTAACATGTAAAAACATGCCAACAAACTGTTGCCAATGTTTGTCATAATTGAATGAATAGTCACATTGAATGTAATGATAATCGCGTATACCTTTACTGATACAACCACTGGAATCAGTTGAGACCAGTTTCCACTTCTTGGAGTCCAACTTATCCTGAATTTCAGTGTTTATATCCATTGAGTCTGACAGTCACTTGACGTCCAGTCACAGTAAACTCCTCTACAGTTGACAACAAAAACACGTGAACTCTATAGAGATGTTTGCAATTGAAGTGAAAAGAGAGGGAAATGTTTGACTCATTTGACTCAATGTCTCCACAATTGAGTCAATGTTTCAATGATTTTGCGCTCAATTTGTGACCACTTTTCACGTCATTTACGAATGACTTAATCATTAAGACATGAAGACTCCGAAGAATAATCTGTGGCAACGGATCACTCAATTCAAAGAGAACTATCGTCACAGCGATTGCGATCCCATTGCCAACCGATTGATTCAAATGAAGCAATTGGCGGATCAGAAGAGCGTTGACCTCAAGAGGGAGACCACGAAGACGTCGACACCCATTGCCGCGAAGAGACACAAACCAGACAATGGTTACGATTATGGGATCAATCGGTTGAATGTCATAGAGGATTGTTGTCCACAAAGAGATAGTGCTCTCAATGGCATGAATGGCGCCTCAAATCTCGCCAACGATTTGTCGCCGCAATTGTCACCAATTGTTCCCAAGAAGTGTAGAAAAACTATTTTTCTGTTCAGTGACGAAGAGGCGAGCAGTGATGGCACCAATTGTGACACAAAACCTATTGACTACTACTCGGGCCACAGATTACTTAAGACCGACAGTGCCCTCGATGAACGAGATGTGGATGAACTAAAAGAACTCAATTACCAGTTAATGACTCAAATGTGTGATAATATGCAGACATGTGTTGACCACAAGACAGTGATAGATATGGACCAAATGAGACCATTCTTAGAGATTAGATCCAAAATAATTAAACGAATGAATAATGAGAGCGATGGTCGGCCCATAGATACAGGTGACCATCGATTCCAAGATCTCTCAGCAGATAAACCCCAAGAAGTGGTCAATGATTTGGACCCTTTTGACGATGAATTTGAGGAACACGTGAAAGACATTGATTTCAATACTTTGAGTGAAAATAATAGCAACGAAAGCGACGAAATAACGGCGACTCACGTGAATGTCGTGAATCCCCGCCACAACTCTTTCATCGATTTGTGTGATGACAACGACGACTACATACCGGTGCCCACGCCTTCCAATGAAGACTCTGTCATAATTTCTGCTCAATTTGAGACTAAATCGATGAATAATTATAACGATTTCGATGACATTGAAGTGGTGTCGGAGTCCCCGTGGAATCAGTGGTCAGACAATGAAAACTTTGAGAGACAAAACGATGTCTTTGAAGTCGATAGCAATGAGAACTTCAGTAATAATTTGTATAATAATAACGCAAATAATAAAGTTGTCATTGAATATGACTTCAATAAGAGTATTGATCAAAATAATGGCCGCAAAGGAGACCTGAACACATCGAGTGACGGCACGTTTGTCGGCATCTATAGAAACGATGGCAACGATCCCGATCTAAAGCGAACCAATTATCCACACTCAAGAGAAATGGATCTCAAGTTCAGACATTTCTTTAATCTGAGAGAGTTTCGAGCGAATCAATTGGAAGCCATAAATGCGGCACTTCTTGGCAATGATTGTCTNTCTAAAGCGAACCAATTATCCACACTCAAGAGAAATGGATCTCAAGTTCAGACATTTCTTTAATCTGAGAGAGTTTCGAGCGAATCAATTGGAAGCCATAAATGCGGCACTTCTTGGCAATGATTGTCTGATTCTGATGCCGACGGGTGGCGGCAAAAGCCTATGCTATCAATTGCCGGCTGTTATAAGTAAAGGCGTAACTGTAGTGATCTCTCCACTGAAATCACTGATTTTAGATCAGGTCCACAAGATATGCTCGAAAGGCAAAGATATGGCCCGAGCGCTGACGGGTGATCTCGATAGTGGAGAAGTGAGTCTCATATACTCTGATTTGAGGTCCAGACAGCCCACAGTTAAGCTCCTGTTTGTCACCCCCGAGAAGATTAGTGCCTCTATGGCTCTCACCTCACTATTCAGAGAGTTGTGCGACAAACAAATGCTGTCCCGCTTTGTCATCGATGAGGCCCACTGTGTCAGCCAATGGGGGCATGACTTCAGACCCGATTATAAGCGCCTTGAAATACTTCGAGATGAGTTCCCAACGGTTCCCATCATGGCGTTGACAGCGACGGCCACACAGAGAGTGCGTTTGGATATATTGGAACAGTTGGGCATTCAGAAGGAGTCCACCAAATGGTTTATGCAATCATTCAATCGACCGAATCTCAAGTTCGAAGTGAGACCCAAGAAGAAGACCTCTTATGACGAGATACAGAATATGATTAAAAGGGAATTCAACCTCCAGTGCGGTATTATATACTGTTTGTCTCGTAAGGATTGTGATGACTTGTCGAGGAAACTGAAGGCCGATGGCGTGAAGTGTAACTCATATCACGCGGGACTCAGTGATAACGACCGCAAAGTAATACAAGAGAATTGGATTAAAAACAAATATCACGTGATCTGTGCGACCATTGCCTTCGGAATGGGTATTGATAAGGCGGACGTGAGGTTTGTCATCCATTACTCTATGCCGAAGTCCATTGAGGGCTACTATCAAGAGGTGGGTCGCGCCGGACGGGATGGAGAGACAGCCCATTGTATCCTGTATTACAGCGGCGTTGACTTCCAGCGCTGGAAGACTCTTCTGAATAAGTCATCGACCGGACAAATGGTCGACACTTTCATCAAATTCCTGTATATGACTGAAAATTACTGCAATAATCGCGCCGAATGTCGAAGAGTCCAACTCTTAAGGTATTTCGGACAGAAGTTTGAAGCGAACAACTGCTCCAAAAACCAGACAACCGCTTGCGATAACTGTCTGTCCACAGACCAGTACGAGAGCATCGATATAACCGATGAAGTGAAGGCTATATTGCAATCGATTGAGAGGTTGGTCGGGAAGTTCGGTCAGAACCGTAAGAAAAACATCACTCAAACCAAACTCATGACCATCTTTTATGGCGCCGACAAACTGGAGTCCGA